AAAATCACTGATGGTGCTGCTGAATGCTTCGACTTTTTATTGAGCCATTTATGAATAAGAACAAGTGTTATAGCGAAGATTTATTAGAGCTGTGGTCCCTGCATGTAGCTATAAATATGTAGTGAAACTATGACCGCTAAGTACAATGCAACCGTCCATACAAATATATACACTATGCGACCGTCACTGTGTAGCTGACTGTTTGGAGTGATGACGAGTTCCAGCATTTTTTTAAGTCCTTAAAAATTAGTTCATATAATTCCAGGTCAGAACCTAAGTTTTTGTCACTGAAAATAGGAATATGAGATATTTAATTCGATTTTTTCTTACCTTCATGATTGTAAATGAAACACTTTGTAAAAAATATAGTTTAGGAAGTGAGTCAGAATCCATCTTTACGGTAGGCGTTTTTCAAATATATTATTTGTGCCCCAGATTTCCTGATTATTTTCTGGTTATCATGTCAGAATTTTATTCCAATTGACTCTTGTTTGTAATTAGAAAAAAGCTAACTTTGTGATTTTGTTCATTAACTGCATGCCTTATTAACTTTAATTGTATTTTTCGTTTTATAGATGCCAATCACTGCATTTTCCTTGAATCTTTATTTTCGTCATGCATTTTTCCATTGTAGTATATCAATGAAATACGCTCCGTACAATCATAGAATTTCGCCCTACATCTTATATATTTAATACGTTCGAAAGTTTGGTTATTTTAAAATGCCACTCAAGGTACTATTTTAACTCCATGGTAAAAGGATCAACTTGTGTCGATTCGGTGTTTGCATCGCACGGCGCCAAATGAATGCCAAGCCCAATGACGGGTGAAGTGCCATTTACAAAGCGGGCACAGGGAAGGGTCGATCAGACCATAATTTCGCGCCAGAGAGGTTATTGGGAGTCACTCGTCACTAAACGTTCCATAATGTCGCCATGTATGAAGATGGAATTTAGCATCAATCAAATTTAGTCAGATAAGTTCTTAAACGTCATATTTGAATACTCATTTCATATTCAAGAAGAATCAATGCAATAAGCATGCTGTACTCGCGTAAATTCAACAATGAAGTCTAATTAAAACTGAAAATCACATGTATTACACTTTTCATGCCTTTGTGGAAACACTAGGAATGTTGTGATTGGGAAATAACATTTTCATAAGGATTCATTATGCTTCATAAGGATGCTATATAAATAAACTATTCTGAAAGCGAATTGAAAAAGTGTTATTTTCTCGCTTAAACTTTATACTCATGTAATCGTCTACATAAACGATTACATCCACTCCTATTTGTGCTATTTAGCGCGACTGTGATATTAAAGTTTACAGCTTTCTTAAAAATAAGTCTGAAATGATTCAATACTTAAATAGAGAAACAGAAACAAAATCAGTCAATTATGTAAGCTTTACGGATTTGGATGCAGGTTTATTCAGTTTGACTTTTTTATATTGTGCAATTGATGTTTAATTTCTAAGAGACACACGTTGTTAAGAGAAAACTAACGCAAAAATGAGTAGCAAATTCCCCAATTAAAAGGAACATTTGAATTTGCTCCTAGCTGTACTTTAAACGGTATTGGCGCGACTCCAACAATACTATCAATTAGAATATGGACAAATAACAAATTTAACGTACTAAATGATGGTTGCAAAGAAGATTCTAAGGGTTCATCTAAGGATTCATCTCATTGTTAGTAAGATTACGTGACAGCCTCTCACCAGCGCATGTCCTGCTTACAAGTACACGCACAATGTTTATAAATTGGACAACAGTATACTAAAACTGGAAAAGAATACAAACACCAGAGGTCACCATTACAAACTGGAGAAGCAGCGTTGCAATACGAGTCTTCGTCAAAGGTTTTTCACCCAGCGTGTGGTGGAGAGGTGGAACAGACTGCCAGCACGGGTGGTGGAGGCTCCCAGCGTCGATGCCTTTAAGAACAGACTGGAGAGTGTTATGCGGGACCTTGTCTACAGTGTAGACGAGCTTCCCACCTTTATTAGAGCTGATCAAAGGATCAGCAGTCAGTATGGACCAAGAAAAGAGTACCAGGCACAACAGAATCGGCAACAGGCTGTGGAAGCCTAACATCTGATGCCGAGATTGCTATGCTATGCTTGCTAATTACTGACAGCCCGGCAAAGAAGTAACAACGAATCTAATTCTCCTAACCATGGTTGAATTAATATCAACCATGCACCTAACCATGCTCACCACTATTTTACAGAAATTAAATGCAAAAGTTTTCCTTTATTGGGCTTAATTATAAAAAAATAATTATTATCACTTCGCACTCTCAGTACTTTTATTGTCAAATGCTTAAGAGATTTTGCCATTGAACCTCTGAAACTTGCATGTCGCGGCCATTGTTGCTTCTAGCACTATTAACGAGTGTTAGTGTTACTGGAAAGTTTGTAGTGGTGATTTATATTGAAGAAGTTGTTAAGTCATCTTATTTAATCACTCCGTCCCTTTGAAAACTTTTTGAGGTATATGCGTCGAACTTCGGAGAACTGACGCGGCCACTGCTGCTATAAGTACTAGACTAAAGTGCGAATGGTAATGGGGAATGCGCCAATACGGAGAGATGATTTATAACGAAAAAGAGATTGATTCATTTCATTTCATCTCTCTGCTCCCTGATCAATACATATTTATCGAGATATAAGCGGTGAATTAATGAGACTTAGCGTGGCTATTGTTGCTTCAGGCAGTGACAGGCACTACTAGCAATTGCTAAATGCTGATTTAGAGTGGCGAACAGTGATTTACATTGAATACGTGTTTAATATGCCTTATTTAATCCCTCTGCACTCTGCAATTAAATATTTTTTAGATATGTAATTATTATCGCCTGACAGGTGTCAGGAGATATGGAAAAACAAATAATGGGTAGATCTTATTCGAACGCTACTACACATCACGTGCCTAGTATGAATATAATATGAAACATGCTCTTTATTGCACATCACTGTCATATTGTAAAAGTTCACATACTGGTTCAACCCATTGTTGAACTATATATCTACTAGTTCAACCATAGGTTCAACCATGGTGATATTCTACTTCAATTATCTTCCTAAAAACTACGGAATCATCCCATTTTCCGCCTAGCATTATCATACACAAGAAATTGTTTTAAATCTTGAGTAGATGAGGAAATTAAAAATGAACTGATTCCAAAGAATCTCTGGTTTGCCACTATGCCCCTGGGCAGCCTTTGACGTCAATTAACTTTACTAAAAGTGGAGCTGGCCAGCTGGGACCACACCAATGAGGCAATGACACCATTGTTATGATTGTACGTACCTAGTACCTAGAGGCTAGACAGTAGTACTAGTATGACTACTTGACTAGTAAGTAGTATCTATGTTGCCCATTTGCTATTGCACTGGACTGGTAAGTGGTAACTGGTTAGACAGTAGGTATGTACAGAGTAGCCTCAGTAGACAGTAGATACCGTCTACGTCCCATCGCCTACGGTATCCTTCCATAGTAAAGACAGGAGAAATGAAAAATTATCAGTGTTTTTAGAGCGATAAGCCTATGGTTTTTCACAAATCACAATACCTACTTTATTTGACCCCGTAATGAAATTCTATCGCAGAAGGTACTTTTGGTTCTTTGTCCCGGTCTAGAGCTGTTTGCCTGGCCCTTGAACCAACACTAACAGTCTAAACCCATCTCACAACCTGGAATGAATAATCTGACCTCAGGCTCATGGGCCCCTTGCAACCCCTCTCTAGAAACAGGGGGACTAGGCCCTAGGGGAGTTTCAAAATGTATTTAAATAAAAAAGTGTAGATTTGAACTGTGTAATTTCTTAGTTGCTTCTGTTGGTTCCAAAATGCCATAAATAACTTTAAAAATGGCAATGACTTTCATTGGTTGTTCCACCCTTGTGACCTTCTTTCCCTATAGGCTATACTGGCTTCACGAGTTCAGGCCTTTTTTTTTCTCTATCACCTTGTAACTCATGGTGTTGGTACCTACTTTGATGTTGGAAGGTTGACTGGTTGACCTTACTAGCTACTGTCAATATCACGATCAAAATTATTCATAATATCAAAATCCAAAATCTAATTCACGATCATTGGCAACATTTGTCCAGCGGTCCAAGTTGAATTGCTCAGTTTTCAAGTGATGTTTATATTCAAATTTGTTTTTGCTATTTTTGCATGAGAGTATTGCATTGCATGATTGCAAAAAGTATTTTTTGCATGAGAGATACTTTGAAGTTTCTCAATGTTTACAGCATTGAAATCCGTGTAGAAACATAAATTTTAAAAATTTTTAGGTGGAAATTTAGGCTCCTATGGACTTGAAACCAAGGCTTTTGATTTCAAATTCACGATTCAGTCCACCTAACGAGGCTAGCTGCCGCAGCTGCTGGCACAGCTTGAGCTCACAACATGATTGGCAAGTCCCTTTTGTTCATTTATGGTAGTGTGTTAAACTAACTTTACTTTGGGAAGGTGCTAGTGTGTTGTGGCTGTGCAGTGGTTGGTCTGTAAAGAAGCATTGATTGCTTCAAAATGTCATAATACCATGTTCTTTCCTATTACCTACGTATATAATTGCACTATGTTTGAGCCTCATCATTGTGCTGTGCTACTGCATGAACACTATTGACTTGAGCACTGATTTGAAATACATTTACAAGGCCAAGTTGACAGTTGTAAAGTACTGTAGATATGCATGTTTATAAATTACACTATCAACATTGATTATCAATTCAACATTGAGTGCCTTCATAAGTGAAAAATAACTATGATTTTTGCTAAAATACAAAATTCTCAAACTGCTATCTCACTCATGATGTTAGTACTTTGACTTTGAAACGTCTTCTCATCAGTCCAGTTTAACAACAACTTAGTTAAGTTGAGGAGCCTCACCAATCAAACTATTGAAGTATTGGCGTCCTACTAAGTTACTAACAACATGATGACATGATGTTAGTACTTTGACTACCAACAACAAACAGACAATTGTGTCTGCCAACAAACAAAATTTTTATGAACCTCTGTGACAGAATGCAGGAAGCCTTGCAATGAAACTTTGCTAGGTTCAAGTGTTGCTAGTGGCTTCTAGCAGCTTCCAGTCTTGAGGCTCCTAGCGGCTTACCATTAATCTGAAAATAAGAAAATGAGCAACAATCATTGAGGAAGCAATTTTTCAGTAAAAATGGCAATTGAAAGTCATAATGAAGTGCAAATATTGCTGGATAAATTGGAAAATTTAGTATATAATGACAATGACTCAAATGGAGGTTTTGCTAAGGATATAATAGTTGATCTTTCAGAATTGTTGAGCAGTGATACTACATCAGCCCACTATGGTGAGTTATTGTTTGCCTTTTTAAAATTGATAATCAATTTATAAGCATTTATGAGAGGTTAGTTGTGTGATTTTGTTTGTTTAAAACCTGAAATGGTGAATACCGTATACCTATTGCTGTTTGGGAGCAAGTCATCAATACCTACTTACCATGTTGAAATATTACCTGTACCTGAGAATTTATTCTAAATGGGGAATGGCATGGCAAAACTTGGAGGAAAGATGTGGATAAAAAATTAACATTTACTTAGAGGATTCTTATAAATCTAATTTAGAAGACATGAAAATTTTTACATGTTGAAATGAACCAAACCACTGTACAAATGAGTTCAAATGTGGGTAAAATATGGATTGGTTTTTTAATGACATACTTAAATTTTATGCCTAATAATGGGATTTTGGATAAAAAGATAATTGAATTGTAGAAATCATAGACCTTGGGGAAATGCTGGTTAATCTCCAAATGTAACTAACTTAAAAAATTCAAATTCTTCCTCTAAATACTTGGCTACATTTTCTTTTTAGCACATTTTCTCATTTATGGAAAAAATGCACTATTGTTCTTGCCATGTCTGTCTGTCTGTCCGTGACCTCAAGTTTTCGTCGATGAGAAAATGCGCTCTCTGTCACTCACTGCAGTGAGTACTAAGTTATATTTTTTTATATTTCAGATGTACATGTGAGCTGCTCTTTGGGAAAAAATGGCTTGCTGCAGTTCTGTCGACAAACCGTCTCCAGGAAACATTATGGTGATGCCAAGAAATCTGCCTTGGAAGTCATCAGAATACTTTTGGAGAAACAAGCCTCCAAAGTAGCCCAGTATACTGATGAGATTTTTGTGAGTATCTATCAGTAATAGGTAGGTCCTTCAGTCCATACAAACTTTACTTTACAAAGCTAATGAATAGACTTATCAATAATTGTTTACCCAAAAATCCCTAAGTGGTAAACACCAACTCGGCCTGTTGGTCATTATTGAAGGCAATAAGTGCCCTTTTTAGCCATCCATTATGATCCATATACTGTTATTGTTAGTAGGCTAATTGCAACATAAAAAATAACACTTCAAAAAGACAAAAAAGCTGAAAAAAAAAATAAAAAAATCATGAAAAAAATAAAAAAATCATTGATTTTTGATTTTTTTGATTTAAAAAAAAAAATAAAAAAAATCACCAACCCTGGTCCTTGTGCATCAAAGTGTTGTGTGTTAATAAAAGAAATGTGAGCTACCTTATTCTTTCATGCAAACTATGTTGAATACCAGAAAACAGTTATTATTAAGTTTTCTTTCAGTTTCTTTAAATTTGGCAAATTGGACTTTTGGTAGAATTTGAAAGTTGTGATGCAATCTACTTGATCAAAATAAAAAAAGTTTATATTCTTGTCCTATAATACACTTAGTAAAAATAAAACATACGGTATGTCTTATCAGTCACAAATTTATCACTTTGATAAATAAATGCAGGCTTTATTTATCACTTTTCACTATTGCCTGCATTTAATCAACTTAACCTTGATGATCAATTTATTAATTTATGTGTGGAAATGTGCAGCTTGTGAGCGTGTTGCTGTACCGAGGGGACCCTGCTGCTAAAGTGCGCTGTGCTGCGCTGGAGCTGCTAAGTGTCCTGCTGCTTCGCTGTGTCTCCTACCTCAGTGCTGACATCCTCAATGTGGAGCAGCTGGTTGTTGATCTCAGCATGGGCATCAGGGGTGCCAAAGTGCCATCAGGTATAATTTCCAATAGCTTTTTAGAGATTTTGCTCAGAGTCAAGCTGTGTTCATTCTGAAGGTGCTTCGAGACCAGCTCAACCGACATGTCAGTCAAGTCTTTTTAGTCAAGTCAATTAAACTCGTAACTTTTTTAAGGCCCGTTTACATCTCATCTTGTTTCTTTTCTGCCTTGTGTTTAATGTATGTTAACATAATAACATAAAAAAGCTGAACATAAACATAATTTTCCCACAAGGGAGAAAAGTTATATTTGTTGTTTCTATGTTAGAGTTGCACTTATCATATGTGCTTGATTATCCATTTTATAATTTTCACTAATATAGGTAGTAATTTTTTAATGAATCATTAATGCTACATCTCTGAGTAGGCTGCATGCTCATCCTGCCTTATCTGTACCTGCCTGTTTAGTTGTGTGTGTACAGGTTGCTAATTGTTCTCAATCCCTGCAGGCCTTTTGAGGTCTTCTAAAGGGTGTATGGCTCAGTTAGGTAACAAACACAGACTGGAAACTTTAAAAAAAAATTTTCAAATGGGAGTTATGCTTCTACTAAAGCCTGCGTTGGTCACCAAATCATTGCTGCTAAGTGGCCCACCATAAAAATATAAGCCTCTTTTGAAGCATGATGGTAGTCTTTTTTTCATTCGAAGAACCTTCAACTACTTTGCCCCGCAAGATTCAGTTGCTTGTGAGGAATAATAGAAGTAGTCATGTCCTTCTGAAACACCACAGCCTGAGTAACCTGAAAATAATTACCACTTTCAGAGCTTCTGATGCTATAATTATGTTTATGAATTTTGTCGGTAGGTGTCAGCGTAAAATAATGATTGACATTAAGTATTAAGGCTGAGCTGTCACGCACGTTCTTGATTAAAATTCATTCAGTTGTTTCTTCTCCACGTCAGTTACAAATTTATAAGAGTGCAGATCACACTCTTTCAATTAAATCCTTTTTAAAATAAACAGCTTTTAATTCACACACATGATAACGGGTCAGTATTATGGCCTGAAGATGAAGACTTCAGAGGAGCGCGGCAGCTTAGAGTCTGTCTTTGGCTGAATCCGAGGCAATGAAATCTCATATCGGGCAAGTAACGGCAAACCCAAGGACAGCAAAATAAATAACCTTGTTTCTTCAGTGTTTTTTTACTGTCGGAAGCTTCAACAATAAATCTACGAACAATAATACGAACGTGAATCTGAATGAGTACCTGAATGTAATGAGAAGACGTTTGAACACTGAATCAGTGAGTGAATGCAGTAATCGCCAATCGGTGACACTTGCCAGTTGCCACTATCTCACGAAAATAAAAAACACTCAAAAAGGGGCGTGGGTCCCTTGGGCTTGGCACAGGGTCCCTGCCCCTGCCGGGCCTGCCCCCTGGGCAGCCTTTGACTTTGAGGTCAATTAACTTTACTAAGAAGTGGAGCTGGCCAGCTGGGACCACACCAATGACACCATTGTTATGATTGTAATTTGTACCTACTAAGGCCATAGTGGCGAAGCAGAGAGTTTTTTAGACTCTCCCTCCTGACCCTCCAGTTCATTTTTGAGTCTTATTGGTAGACCAGTGAAGTATCCTGGACATGGTGGCAGGGAATTATTGTGAGTACTTATCGGTCCACCGCCGTGTGTTGGTCTTAACCCTTCGCAAGGCCCCATGCCCTTGGCCCTTGGGCCCCTCTTGCAAGTTGTAATGGTCTAAACTCAACAGTTCGACCCCTGGCCCCATCCCCATGGTCTCATCACAACTCCCTTTAGAAATATGTGGAGTTTCGAAATTGATAGTAATAAATCAATAAATATTTGAACTGGGAAATTCCTTAGTTACTTACATTG